TTTTTATCTTGTTACGTGTATTATTTATAATACAATAATAATTTTTTTCATTACGGTTTTTTTTGTTACAGACTGTATATTATGCCTGTGTTCGTTAACGTTATTAAAGTTATTGTATACGGTACAGTGGGCCCTGAATACAGTAACACACTTTAAGATAACATCTCGTTATAATAACACGAACTCTCTTTCCCCGAGCACGTTATTGTATCCAGTGTTCACTGTATTTTTATACACCTGTTTGTTCAACCCTATATGAGTTTAATCCAGGTCAATAGTCAATTTGATCCTATCTGAGTCAATATCAACCTGACTTGAAAAATGAAATTGGGTCATCTTATTTTATAAATTCGATTCAACACAACATAACACGGAATTTATGTATAGAATAATTACTGAATGGTACTGTATCTAATAAATTCGACATCAAATCAGCACGTAGTCACGAATTCTAGAGTTGTATTGTTACCGAAATACCATTAGATCCTCTAATTCCGTAATTTTAATCCCTAATTTTCGCATAACGACCTACATGAAAATCCCTAAACCAAATTTAGAAGTATTTCGTTAGCGTTAGGAATAGATACATGTACATACGTATTACCTTTTTTTTTTTATTTATTTATATCGAAATTACGTACGAACATTCCACCGTTCTTTTAATATAATGTATGCGACGATCATTGAGAGGGTAACAATCACAACAATTATTTGAACAATCAAGAGCATCGAACAGTAACAATTATCGAGAGGATAATCCCGACAATAATCTGGACAATTGAAGAGCATTGACGAAATGTACGTAACGATAGTAACTATAAAGGGGATAGCAATCGTCTGGGCAATTGAAAGACAATCGAACAATTAGTGTTTAATCGTATTAAAAGAAACCATTAACCTTAGGATTAGCATAGGATTAGCGTAATAATTCGAAATTATATATAGAAGCGTCTTCAAGTCGCTGAGAAGACATGCTTTTGTTCGTGCTTTAATCGAATAAATAAAAAAGTTCTTACTCGTATTTGTAAATACACTATTATTTTCTTTCGTTTCGTGATCAAACTTCAGTAGATGCTCCTCCACTTAAAATAAGTCATTGGTTTTCTTTGATTTGTTTCGTTTTTCTTTGTACAGGCCGTATCAATAAGTCCTGTGGAATTGATTTTGTTTTCTTTGTACAGGCCGTATCAATAAGTCCTGTCAAATTAGTTTTGTTTTCCTTGGATAGGCCGTGTCAATAAGTCCTAGCACGTCAGCTGAGTTGATTTTTTAGATATAGAATTAGTCTTAGAGTCGACTTGGAACACTACAGTAGCCGTCATAAATATCCGACCGCCCCTAATTTTTCATAGATCATATGTAATGTTCCAAAATTTTTCACGTATAAGGAACTATATATATATATAAATATTAATAATTTATGCCTTTTATAGGCCGGTAAACTTTTATATGTGTTCGTCAAACTTCAATGCCATAATACAATGAAATAAATCACTTTGGATACAATATCTCGATATCCAGTGATCCAATTCAAATGAAACTATTATTATTCGATTTGTCTAGACTAGATAAATCGAATGATAGTAGTTTCATTTGAATCGGATCACTGGATATCGAGATATTGTATCCAAAGTGATTTATTCGTTTTTGTTGGTCAATTTTTTATTAGATAAAAAACGAATTGGCCACTTTAGGATGCGATATCTTGGTATTTAATAATCCGATTTGAGCTAAAATATATCATTTGATTTGCCTACGTAGTTGAGATGAATTGATCGGTATTATTTTGGCTCGAATTGGGTCACTAGATATTGAGAAACTGCATCCTAAAGTGACCGATTTATTTCTGATAACCTCAAAAAAAATTGGAAGATGCAATATCTCAACATTTAATTATTCGATTTGAACAAAAATACTATCATTCGATTCGTCTGGTTGAGGCGAATCAAATGACAGCATTTTTGTTCAGATCGAATCACGAATTGGATTGCTAAATATTGTAGATACGTATCATGAATATTACGTCCGATTGATTTGTAACACGAGTTTTGACAAACGTATAACATCTGATATAGAAGTTTACCAGCCTATAAAAGGCATAAATTATTAATATTTATATATTTAACGTTAAGCATATACCGATACGTTTTATTTTTGCGAATTTGTTTTTCCGGGCTGATCAAAAATTTACGCATTCTTATTGGTTTGTGTTTCAGACAATCACTGGGCTTACAACATTTAAAAGTACTAAGCCAAGGTCTCCATCATCAATGAATGGATGATGAAGGATAACGATAACAATAAGAAATTTGTTAGCCGGCGGTCTCGGAAAAATCAGTCAACTTTGGACGCCTACTTTGGATACCAATATTTCCACCAATATTGCCCGATTTTGTTGATCTAACGCAAAAATATCCACCTTAATTATAGAACTATAGATCGCAAAGATCTGATCATGTATTCCAGAGATGGGCGTTCAACGATGCCATACAGACCCAACCAGTCGAAATTTGCGACGGCACCAATGAAATGAAGAACTATACGCCCACTAATGAAAAGAAACGCCAAATACTCACATTTAGGAAACTCGGTACGAAACCAACCTGGAAACCGGTCGCGTAAGTTGTTAGTTGTTAAGAGTGAGTTTGGCCGCCATTTTCGTTTCGCTGGTGTTGCGAATTTCTCCAGGTCGCGATCAGTTTCCAATTTTATTTCATGCCGGTGGTGTTGTTAGTGAGTCTTCGGCGCTTTTCGTTGGTGAGGGTCCCAGCCGGAATTTTGCTGGGCCAAACCACAAAACAAATCAGTAAAACTGGTCGGGTCGGGTCGGGTCTCAGATTTATCGGACCCGGAAAATTTGAACTACATAGCCCAGGTATTTATAATCTCACGTGATTTTTTCTGGACACAACAATTACCCGAAACATTGTCTTCCCGTCATTTTTAGTACTATATACAAGTTAGATTTAGGCATTTCCGGGTTGATCAAAAATTTGCGCATCCTCATTGGTTTCGAGATCATCAGGGATCGGAAAAATCACGTGAATGGAAAATCGATCGTGGATGAGCTGGGGTAGTTGACCAAAACAATATAACAATCCGGTTTTGACCGGAACATATTTCCGAAGCTATTTTCCGAGATTGTTACAATTAGATACATCCTTTATTAATTTATATGCAATTTTTTTAGTGAATGAAAATATATGAGAAATCAAATCTTTCAAATCAGACATGACATGCATGAAAACTATCTCGCCACGCAAATTCTTACAAAATAAATGGATCATACAGTGATCTGGATTATGAGGCTGTGGGTAGTGGGGATGGGGTTTTAGGACGCTGCGAAAGAGATTAATTACTAAGGGGATTGAGAGTTCAAAGGAGAATAACGGTGAAGGTACTGAACCTCAACTTGTAATGTAGTTAAAAGAAGAATGATAACGATAAGAGTAACGACAGTAATTCTAACAATAATAAAATGGAAAAAAGACAAGAAAAAATAGATATTTTTGTGATTATGTATTTCAGATCGGGATCATCTTTACCTGACACGTGCAAATGTTTAGATCACCCAAAGTGAATTTATTGGTGATAGGTTAAAAAGTGACAAAAGTTTCATGATACTTATGCTCCTTATTACAAATTATAATTATCAGTGTTTAAATTATATCGAACAGAATTAATTAGATTAAATAATTGAAAATTTCTTGCTTGTGACAAATTAAATTAGATATTAAAAGACATTGACAAATTAAATTAGACATTAAAAGACATTGTCAAATCTTGAACATATAATTTAACTGTCCGCTCAGATACCCAATCAAAGTGTACGGTATCCAAAATCGTCGGTGTAGATAAGTGAACTAAATAATAGGATTAGTAAGATTAGTAAATACGTAGTGCATCATGCTTGAAATTATCGATAAAAAGTATTGAACACTCATCAAGTCGATAAATTGAAGTCAAATAAAAAAGATTCCTTACTTACCATCATCCCCAATATTAAATCCAAAAGTCCTAGAGGGCTTTATGGAACTCGATAGCGTGCTAACAAATGGTTTGGAGTCTCGTGACAACATGCCCAATAATCCTGAACTTGTATTCCATACACGGACTGTTCGTTCGTCCAGTGAACACGAGACGATTACTTTACCATCTCCTGAAAATGATATCGCTGTAACTGATTTTGTGTGACCCTATAAACGTTATTGACATTAATAAACGTGTTTATAACTAATAAATGGTATTCATTGAATAATTATGTGAAAAAATAAGCAAACCTCCAACACATGCCACCGTGTCGCCGTTCTCAAATCGTAAATTATCGACGCTCCCTCCAAAGTCCCAACCGCAAGTTTCTGCGACCGCCCATGGAAAGTAATCGACGGAAAAGTTTTCACCAAATCATGTAAAATACTTGTGGTTGTTTGCAAAACAGTTTCTCGAAGATTCGTTATGTTAGGATCCAGAGACTTGACAACCGCTTCCACTAGCGCCGGTAGTTTAGAATACAGTATTAATGGTTTTTTGCGGATGAATAAAGAGACTAGTTTCAAATATCCGTTTTTGTCGCACGGTCTGGCGGAGTCTATTGCGTCGTAGGTGAGCGTCGATATAAATAGAGGTGTGTTAATGGAGGCGATTTGAAATATTGCTTGGCGTGCCGTGGTTTTTATGGCAGCGGAGTTGGTGTCCGCGTCTATTGCGAATGTGAATAGTGTTCGAAGAACTGCTCTTGCGTTGAAATGTATTTCGGAAATAAGTTAAGGAGAAAAAAACCCATTAATTATCTATAATATAATTGATGATCAGAACAATATTTTAGAAAAGGATATGAGGCTCCCATGACGCGAATCCTCTCCCGCATAGCTCCAATGCTGCTAATCGATATGCTAGTTTAGATTCATCATTAAGTAATAAAGTCAACGATAAGGCTACATTTTTTGCGATCCTAAATTTATTCGATGAGAATTAATGATATTGATCATAAAAAGAAAAATCAATAGAATGCTGTTACAAAGAAAATTACTTCTTCGGCAAAGCATTCGGATTATCTACACCTATCATCGCCAGTAATATCGTGGATCGTGCCATAAACTGATTTGTGCATGAATCAGGTGAAGATACTGCTGGTACTTAGAGTATATACATAGACGAAATCAGTTGGAAGCGTCCCTGACACAACGTGCAAGAAAAGTGAAACCAACAATATGCTCACGAAATTGTTTCCAGAAATCTATTATTGCTTGTAGATCTTCTTGTCGCATGATATTTAATGACGACGAAAATAGTGTTCGTGCTGCAAGTTGTAGGTCCGCTGATTACATTGTAATAAATTTTCATGAAATGTCTTTAGGGATGAATAAAACTTACAGATATTGAAACGGTCAGTATAGATACCTGAAGAGTCTTGAAAAAATTTAGAAAGAAGATATAGGGATGCATGACAAAATCCTTTTCCTACAAGTTCTGGCAGTGAGTATCCGTAATGTGTTATTATATCATTTGCATATTTATCTAATCCTGATATAAAATTGTCAAAACAAGTCATTTTGTAAATAACCACTTTGGAAATCTAATTCATGTGAATGGTGCTTTATATTTAAAGAACAACCTTTCATGGAAAGAAACGACCGAATTAACCCAATAATTGACAATAGATGTGTTGCTGTCATATTCGCAGATATTTGCCACAGTAATTTTCGGTGTTTAGAAGGAGCAGCAATCGACAAATTTCCATTTGCACTATTACCAGTTAAAAAAACAGAGAAAAAATACACTTTCCATTATTATATTTTGTTCTCACGAAGTCATGGTCAAAGCACTGGCAAAATACCTGAGAAACCTAATGCATATTATATTCATACCCTCTTATTCCAAAAGTAATACTATCAGCAGGCTTTCTCAATCCCAATCGTTGGATGCAAATACGATCCAACGAGTGATTAATATCCCAAGACATCAGCGCCGAGACTAGTCCCTGCACAACGCTCGCTCCCAAAGCTCCGCCTTCTGTTTCTTGTGGTGGTTGCCCTGACAACGAATTCGATGATTTTGTTCCATCAGAAAGTTGTGTTGTCATGGTATTGGTCGAAGTGGTCCACGAGAAAACTTTAGATTGTTGTTGTGTAGATGAAGATTTCTCGTCGAGGTCGTCGCTTCCACTTATCCCAACTCCAACTCCACTACCACATCCATTAACTATTCCGCCTCCTAGTTCATTCGGCGCGCCATTTGTTTTGTTATGCGAGAATGATCCCAACGCGGACACGTGATAGTGATAAATATCATTGATGAGTTGTCTTACATTGATCATGAAAATGTGAATAGGCGAATTCGCTATTTAGAGTATACGGAAAAAGTCGGATATTATATCGTATATTCTTGCAATCATTGACTATTGTATCAAGAAAATATTTACGGTTCTCGCAAGAGTCTATCGCGAATGAATTGAAAGTCTTGTTCCTGTGCTGGGTGTTTTTTACAGGATCGGTCAAGTTTATTGGACTGAATAAGTTTGATCAATTTTAGTATTAATTTCGTACTATAAACTAAGAATTTAACAGTTAAAGAAACAATTAACCTTATTTTCCATTGTTTATCGCTTATCATATCTCGAGCAGCCGACCCTTTGACAATACGATCAAGACAAGCGGAGTGCAACTGAGCAGTAAAAAAAAATTTCGTTATTTGACTTAGTTTCTACGTTCATTCGATGAAAAGTGCCGAAATAAAAGCATAAAATATCCACCCACCAACCTGCCAAATGTGGACTGTTTCATCACCATATGAGATTAACACAGAGTCCTCAGTTGGACGCCACTGTATTCCCAATATAGGATATAGGTAACCACCAAAGACATACAGACTGTGGATACCGAGGTCAATTAAGTATATACTATTAACATAAGAAAAACATTCACCACGATTAAAAGTATATGAAAACGCACCAATTCATCTCCTCCAACGAAATAATCGCCAACGAACTATCTTTTCCCACTGATATAACACATCCCCGAATCCGAGTACCGACATCCGCGGGCGGTTCAAGAATTTTTCTGACTGGTTGCGAATGGACGGTAAATGTCGCCAGACGTTTACCATTTCTTAAAAAAATTTATCATCGTTATCAGCGTCATTAAAATATTTGTGGATAAGAGAATTAAAAAAAGATGACATACTCCAAGCTCCAAATGCGCACTGAACAATCCTCACCACCCGAGATCAAATACTTCTTTCCGAAAATACTCATATTCGGCGAATATAAAAAGGTTACACGGCCCGTGTGGCCACTCAGTGTTTGAATTTCTTGGGTGTCTTGGAAGTCGATTGGTTGTGTGAATACGAGGTGAATAGGAACAAGCTTTATTTCTCCGTTTTCTTATAATCAATATCGATATCGTTCCAATGTAACATTAAATTTAATTAATTTATGTAAGTAATAATTGATTAAAAAGACATAAACACAAACCATATCCAAAAGCGATTTGATCATCGTATACGCTGGTTGTTATGGTTACTTTTGATGAATTGTTATTCTGTTGTGGTTGTTTTTGAGTATCTAGTGGCCACAGACTGGATATAATTTTCTCTGATTGGGTAGAAAAATAGGTCATTCAAAAAAGTCGCGATTTATGGTTTAATTACACTTTATATAAACCAAGTTACCTCGAGACCACTTTGCTTCAAAAACTCCCGTCTCTTTATACTGTTCCAACTGGCTCATGGTCAGTAACTTCCAAGCATATGTCGGACCCTCCGACCGATTTCGGAAGCTGATTAAATACCAATTATTTGAGTTTTCTTCGAGGGTAGTTGGCATGAATACTGTAGTTATGGCTGTGTGTATCTCAGAATCTGAACAAAAAAAAATATTGTCAATAGTTTAATATAACTTGAAAACTCGTTAAATTTAAGAATTGGAAAGAAAAATACCATCAGGATGGTGATGCACAGATTCCAGTAATACTGGCCTTCACAAAAAAATAACAAAGTTTGATTATATTCAGATTAAAAATCATCACCTAAGTGCCAAAAAAAAACAAAATATCACACATTACCGACCTTGACGAAGCTTGCGATAAAATATTACTATGAATATTACTATTATTGTCAATGCTTACATTCGGAGGTAACGACGAGCGACGAGCTGAGCTATTAAAGTTTGGTCGTGATACCAAAGCATGATAACCCAACCCAAACTCTTGCTGACTTTTTCGATCACTGTGCGATGGCAATAGATATAAATAGGCCTCGCCTGTCTGCAACAAAAGAGAAAAGGCTTTGTGGTCATTATTTCATTTTCCATAAATTATAAAAGATAGAATAGAAAATGACCTTTGTCCATAACAACGCGCGTGTTTTGGAAAGAAACGCGCCACCAATCCAGATTTCATTTTCTTTTGGACATGTGATAGATTGCATATTAAGCACTTTGTCGCTTCGTATTGTCAATATCTTTACAGAATTAATAAATTTAGAATAATGAATCAATAGAATGGATTATGAAAAACAAAACCAAAAAAAAACTTACAAACACAATCTTCCTAGACACTGCCAACACGACACCAACATCATACGGATTACTAATCAACTCCAAAATTTTGTCACCGTGCATGTCCAAGTTTCCGACATATTCGTATTCTTTGATTATCGTTTTCTTCAGTTCGTCGAATGTCCAAATACGTAGTTTTCCGTTAAAGTTTGCAGTTAATAGTCGAACTTGACGCGCATCTTTTTTATATGTTATTTCCGATTTTGGGTAATGCTTTTAGATTGAGGGAATGACAAATGGAATAGTAAAATTGATTTTTAGGGAATTAACTTACCCGAGTCGTAGAAGGGTGTACAAGTTTCCCAGTCGTCATGCCCGGCCCATACTCGAACAACCTATATATTTAATGTTTATAAGTAAAATACAAATAATGATAACTTTTACTCAAAACAAATAACCAAGTTGATTACCTCTAATGTCACACAATCCAAAATAATAATTTCATTTGAAAATCCGGAACATAAAAGAAATTTTGCTGGCTATTCTTACGAATAATTGATCGATTAGTTACAAAGATCAAAATAAATGAAATGACTAAAAATTGAGATCAAGCATAGCTTGCTCATGAATTATTTAAATAAAAAAAGAACCTGCGCAGATCCCGCCAGAGGCTTTAAACTTTTCGGTATGCCATCAAAACCACGTGAACAACTTAAAAGACATTGTCCATCTAGTAAGCACCACTTGATTATTTCTCTACTCCAACATAATAAAAAATAAGATCAATAAATCTAGAGATCAAAAAAATGGATGCAATAATCGTCACAATTTTTTTCAATATAAAAAATCTAACCCGTCCTGCGAAGCGCTAATCACAATATGATCATTGCCGACACTTCCATCTGTTTGACTCTCGACTATTGTAAGTGCAGCGACAGCAGACTTATGGCCAATACATAGGATTTTGTGTTCCAGCTGTTATTTTTTCATAAGTTAAATAAATAAATCAATGGATCCAGTTGAATTTACAGAACATTTGAAGCTTTTAAAATCTATCTTTACTCTATACAATCTTATAATTCTGGAAAAACTAAAAAAAATCATTTGCCTACTCATGCACGCATGCACAAAAAATGCTTTCTCACCTCAAGCTCACTCTTCTCCCCGTTAACTTGACACCGATATATCCAAATATGTCCGTTTTTTAACCCTGCAACTATATGTCCATCCTTATAAGCAACTGTAGTCACCTGCACATTTGGCAAGTGGCTCCAGAGAGCCAAGGGGACAATAAGCGAGGCAGAAGACATTCTTATAAATATACAAGCTTCGTGTCCTATCAATAAATATAATATACTAAAATGGAAAAGAAATTTGTAAAAGAATGGTTGATTTTACACTACACAAGCACACGACACTTGAAAAAGGAATGTAATTTAAAAATAGTGAGAGACCAAAAAAGACTTATTAAGAAAGGCTTTATATGAGTAAGGGAATGAAATGATTTGTTCACGATGGACCAAAAGGTGGTCGTTTCTTGATGATTTAGAGTTGATTCATTCTTCGGTGAGCGTAACACAAAATTTGTAATAGAAATTCTATTTTACATGTACTATGTATATACTAGATTTTGGATGACAGTCCCCGTGATCCAAATAACCATATTGATCATGTAAATACATTTTGGCTTTTTTGATATCTTAAATATTGTTATCTTTCTTATGTTATAAATTAATATCTTTATTGCTTTTTTAAACTTTGGATATTATGATTATTCTAATATAATAATATTAAATATTCTAATTTCAGAAAATTCAAGATATTAAAATTATGTTAATTTAACAATTTTTATAATATATTATATTAAACAAAATAATATTTGTTAATACTAATATGCTAATTTGGTTGCTTTAGTCAAAATATCAAAATTGAAATATAAAATAATAAAATTTTACTATATTAAAGAATCAATATTATATTATAATAAAATATTAAATATAATTTTATAATTTATTTTCAATAAGAAATTGAAAAAATAGATTTTATATTAAATATCATTAATATTATAATATTTTAAAAAAAGAATTTATTAATAATTTAATTTGTATTTTAAACTAAACTCTTTTATTAATATTATTATAATTATTATTTTTTATACAAAAGTTCTAAATTCTTAAAATTAAATTAGTTATTTAATTTGTTTATTTTATTCTGGTTCAAAAATAATTATAATAATATTTTACTTGAAAATACTAAACTATTAAAAAAGAATTATATATATATAGTACAAATTATTTATAGTCATCAAAAATATAAATTAATTCAAAATTTTAAATAATAATCTTTATATATTTATTGATATAATCAAATTTTATTAATTAATGTATATGTATCTTTAATTATATATTTTAATTTTATTAGTTAATATAATTTTTAACTTTATATAAATCAAAAAGAAGACATTTTTACAATTATGTTATAAAAATTATTAATTTTATAATTTGTAAAATTCTACGAAATTATAAAAATCATGTAAAAAACTTAGAATATTTTACAATTATATTACACACCCCTACAATATATTACCGGAAATTTAATGTTGATCATTCAACGAATCAAAGTTTTTATTATTAAATAAAAAATTATCGTATTTATTAAACATA